GGACACTATCTGCCTCTCTGTAAGTCCAGGACAGGACATATTTCCCCTGTGATAGGGCAGACTGTGTTTGCTGAGCACCAGCTAAAGTCACTGACTTGCAGCTAGACAAAAGAGAACTCTGTCCCATGAAATGCTCAAGTTCCCATCAGAGTGGGCAAATGCTCACCCATGAGAGGCAGACAGGCCCCAAGACTCCCACCACCATCTCATTCTCTCTCCAGGGCACTTGCTTCTGGAGTAGACATGGGGCGGGCACAATCACTCCTGCTCCCCAGCTTAGCTCTCTCTCTGGCTAAAATCATAAAGCACATGAATGCAGGATGCAACTCTTGCCTTTCAAAGTCCTTTGCTTTTTCCAAGTCCCAAGTGTTCTATGCCTCCACCCAGACTCTCGGCATTCCAACACTTCTCATTTTGGAACTTGGAACCTACTGTCTGAGCCAGTGACTTCATGCTCCAGTGCTTTCTAACCTTCTCTGGCAATCAAGCCCTCCCGGGCATAGGTTCTAGGCCTTCGGGGTCCTTCTAAGACTCTGACTTCTTGCCCAGTCAACTTAATTCATGACAGTGTCAACAGGTGAAAATGGTTTCACCTGTGACACTTCCAATCTATTCAGGCCTAGACTGCATTTTCTAGAGCCTTGAGTAAAAGCATCAACTAGACAGTTTTTTTATTTTATTGCCACATTTACCAGTACACTAAACCTTTTAAATTGAACATGTGCATTACGCTGACATGAGTAGTTTCCACCTGCTGAAAGTTTTACACTAAAAGGAAAAAAGAGAAAAGGTAGCTCATGCTTTAGCACCTATGAGGTATTCTTTTCCTTACTAGTATCTTATTTTCTTAAAGTTCTAATTTCTTATATTTTATATAAGCGAGATGAGACTTAGTTTTTAAAATATTAAAATTCACATAAAACATCTTCACAAATTTTCCAAAATACATAACTTCGTAATATAGTGTGCGTCCATTATAAGATAGTTTTTGTTTGCTTTCTACTAACAATTATCAACGAATTTCAGAAGTGACATTTTTATTTGCTTTTGTTTTCAGACTCATGGTGATTTAAGGAGGTGGAAAAGCTTCTAACCAGGTTTGTTTTTTTTTTTTTTTTTTTTTTTTTTTTTTTTTTTTTTTGACAGGCAGAGTGAACAGTGAGAGAGAGAGAGAGACAGAGAGAAAGGTCTTCCTTTGCCATTGGTTCACCCTCCAATGGCCGCTGCGGCCGGCATACCGCGCTGATCCGAAGCCAGGAGCCAGGTGCCTCTCCTGGTCTCCCATGGGGTGCAGGGCCCAAGGACTTGGGCCATCCTCCACTGCACTCCCGGGCCATAGCAGAGAGCTGGCCTGGAAGAGGGGCAACCAGGACAGAATCTGGCGCCCCAACCAGGACTAGAACCTGGTGTGCCAGTGCCGCAGGCAGAGGATTAGCCTATTGAGCCGCGGCACCAGCCTCTAACCAGTTCTTTTACTGTGTTGGGCAAGGAAAGAGCAAAGACAAAATAAGTTTAATCTCAATATAGAGGATGAGGAGAATAATACTAAGCAGATCATAATTTAATTGGTGAGACTCCTAAAATGTGCCTTAAAAAGCTGCAATGGGAGCACTAGGGGCAGGCGCTGCATGGACTGCCATCATCAACGTGCTGCCAGCCCAGCTGGACACCCCACCCCCAGGTTCCTATGACCCAACACAGGGCATCACCGCTGGCAGCAGCATGTGATGTGAGAAAAGTGAGAAAAGGTTTTCCTGTCAAGTAACTGGTCAGGTGACTGTAGGCCTGTCCTCTCCTCTCCACTGAACACTTGGGGAATGAACTGAAGGAAAGCTGAGGCTTCCAGCACCATCAGGAGTCTAGAGACCCCTAACTACTGGAAGCACCGGGCACCCTCACCATCCAGCAGTTTATTGAGACAACCCCATCCTGAGACAAAAATGACTGAGGATATTTGGTATCCCATGCCGCCAACTTTGGTAGAGGTCAAAGCCACCAGCAAAAGTCAAGGGTCAGCAGATTGTATTGCCCATGTCTGAATAATTCAGTGACTCAAGGCAGCCTCATTATCTGCACGTGGTCACCTGGAAAAGCCAGAGGCAGCTGGCAGAGGAGCATCTGCTCAGGGCTCAGTTCAAAGTCCTGGGCTCCTTCTCATCTTCCCCCCCCCCTTTTTTTTTTTAAAGATTTATTTATTTATTTATTTGAAAGTCAGAGTTACACAGAGAGAGAAGGAGAAGCAGAGAGAGAGAGAGAGAAGTTTTCCATCTACTGGTTCACTCCCCAACTGGCTGCAATGGTTGGAGCTGTGCCAATCCAAAGCCAGGAGCCAGGAGCTTCTTCTGGGTCTCCCACGTGGGTGCAGGGGCCCAAGGACTTGGGCCATCTTCTACTGCTTTCCCAGGCCATAGCAGAGAGCTGGATCGGAAGTGGAACAACCCGTCTTGAACTGGCACCCATATGGGATGCCGACACTGCAGGCAGCAGCTTTACCCATTATGCCACCAGCGCTGGCTCCTCTTCTTATCTTTCAAAGTCAGATGCACCCTTCCCGGTGGCTCTGGCCATGTTTGAGGGCCACACCTGAGTGAGGCTCACCCCTCCTCAGGAAGAGGCGAGCATTCATTCACCAGGTGGCCTCAGGAGAGAGCAGCCCACTGCCTGCCTGCTCACACAGTGGAAAGGCCCCTTAGTGGGCCCTCAAAAATTCAGTTCCAGTTTCCTAGATCTGAATGCAAAGCCTATTTGAGTCCAGAGGAAAATGAGCAGAAATTAAGATTTCTTGGTCACTGCACTTAAGTTATAATGAGGTTTAAAACAGAGAGGTCGTATGGAGTTCAAGATAAATACAGAGACTTCAGAATCGATACCTTACAACTCCCACACAAAGCAGCAATGCTAAAGGGCTTTATTGGCAGCCTAACATTCTTCAAATTCTTGCAGGAAGAGGGTTAATAAAACTCAGAAGGTGAAAACAAAGGAATGTCCTATGACTTAACCACCAACTCAAGGGACAAAGATGAGTCCTGGAAACCAAAATCCCTTACATGTTCATATTCTCAGGAAGGCCATTTATGTGACAAAATACCCAAGCCAGTTTCCCTGCAGGTTCTCTACCTGAATACAGCACAGGAATGCCTCATGCATGGTTGCCATGGCAGCCAGTACATACTGCCCCATGCTCAGGCTCTCCCAGAGCCAGGCAGATTCCACCCAGAGGTGCGTGAGAGCGCACCTGTCCTGGGGCACTCCTCTTTCATGGCTTCCCTGTGTGTCCATGGGCTGCTGGATCACCCATGACCCCAGCAGGGGAGGCAAGAGCTGATGCAGAGGGGCAGACCAAACCAAAATCAGGGTGGGCCTGATGGGGATGAGGCAATGGGCCTGATCCAATACACTGATTTCTTGTATTGCCAACTTTGTCCTGGTCTTTTTAGTCCCATGGGGCAATTGACTCTTTTGCGCCCACAGGCACACATTCACTCACATTAAAAAGGAAGAAAACTGAAGGAGGAGAGGGGATACAATGATATTCCCTTCAGCTTCCCATTTGAGAGCACAGGATGCTGGGAATAGCAACTGCTCCCTGCTCCGGCTCCCAGCTGCCCCTCTCACCAGGAACTGCCTTCCGCTACAGGGAACTGCCTCCCCGAGGTCATGCAACCAGTGGCTGCCCGACGTGGACTCACGATTCAAGGCAACTCTGAGAAAGCGTCCCAGCTCTTTATTTCTCCACACGATCTGCTGAGGCCTCTGTCACAACCACACTTCCATTCATCCTCCTCCTTGCCCGCGCCTGCCTTCTCACTTCCCACCTGGCCTTCTCCTTCAGTAACTCTCCAATAAACCTTCCTTACCAACTCCTGGGTCACTTTGTAGAAAATCTAATTGAAGATGACCACTAAGGGACATCAACACGCATATCCAAACTGGGCAAGCAAAGTAAACTTTGGGTTAACAATTTTTGAAAATGACTTGCAATCAGCTGGAACATGTGCCCTATGAAATGTTCTCAGTGTAAGGAACAAAATAACCTTTTACAATTATACTCCTAGATCCACTCTGTATTAGAAGAAAAGATTATCAAACTTGGGAAGCAGAGAAAAAAAGACTATTTTCAGCATACAGCCTACCTGTAGGAAGTGCAGAGAATTCCACACCCAGCAAGGTTCCTATCTACTCTTCAAGTGTGACCCTGAAGGCAGTATGTAGTCAACAAAGCATCTGTTGGGGCCAGCACTATGGCACAGTGGGTTAAAGCCCCAGCCTTCAGTGCCAGCATCCCATATGGGTGCTGCTTCGATTCCTGGCTACTCCACTTCTGATCAAGCTCTCTGCTATGGCCTTGAAAAGCAATGGAAGATGACCCAAGTCCATGGGCTCCTGCACTCGTGTGGGAGACCTGAAAGAAGCTCCTGGCTCCTGGCTTCAGATCGGCACAACTCTGACTGTTGCAGTCATTTGGGGAGTGAACCAGCAGATGGAAGACCTCTCTCTCTAGCTCTACCTCTCTCTGTAACTCTGTCTTTCAAATAAATAAAATAATTCTTTAAAAAACAAAACAAGCCGGCGCTGCGGCTCACTAGGCTAATCCTCCGCCTTGCGGCGCCGGCACACCGGGTTGCAGTCCCGGTTGGGGTGCCGGATTCTGTCCCAGTTGCCCCTCTTCCAGGCCAGCTCTCTGCTGTGGCCCGGGAGTGCAGTGGAGGATGGCCCAAGGACTTGGGCCCTGCACCCCATGGGAGACCAGGAGAAGCACCTGGCTCCTGCCATCAGATCAGCCGCAGTGCGCCGACCGCGGTGGCCATTGGAGGGTGAACCAACGGCAAAGGAAGACCTTTCTCTCTATCTCTCTCTTTCACTGTCCACTCTGCCTGAGAATGAATGAATGAATGAATGAATAAATAAATAAATAAACAAACAAACAAACAAACAAACCACAGCATCTGTTTGCCCCTGGTGCTCCACTGGAGCCTGGTTACCCAGCAGGAGCCTCTTACCTCCAGGACCAGCCAGAGCTGTCCTCCCACACAGTGATCCGCTTTGTAGAACATCCCATAAAACTTCACCACATTGGGATGATTAGGAAGAAACTGCAGAATGTTGTATTCTGCCTCAATTTCTTCATCCATGTCCTAGACAGAGTTTAAAAAAAAATGCAGACTGGATTAAATGTGAGGAGAGGACATCACACTCAATGAAGCCTATTTCAACACACATCTTTAATGTCATAGTTCTCCTATCTCCATAATACCTAACAATGGACATCCAGATCCCAGCTGAAACCTTGTCATTATTCTATCAATAGAATGTCTTTATGATATTCTTTTTTATTTAATACTCTCATAATTGTCTTTTCTATTGAAAGATATCTAGATTTCCAAAGCAGTTAAAAAAAGGCAAAGGGACCCAACATAGAATAGGACACATTCAAGCTCAGTGTGTATAGCATTTTAATCTCAGAGTCCTGAAATAAGATGTCAGCCCAAGATGATCAAACATCATAAAACTGGATCTCTTTGCAACCCACAGAGAGACGAGGAATGGAATGCAATATATCACCCTCTCCAAAACAGTAACTTTTGAAGAGTCCAGAGAGCTGAAACCAAAATAACAGTGAAATGGGCAAGAAACAAAAATGAAGGAAAGGGCCAGCATTGTGGCATAGCAAGCAAAGTTGCCGCCTGCAGGGCCGGCATCCAATATGTGTGACAGCTGGAATCCTGTCTGCTCCACTTCTGATCCAGCTCCCTGCTAATGGCCTGAGAAAAGCAGGAGAAGATGACTCAAGTGCTTGGGACCCTGCCACCCATATGAGAGACCCACATGAAATGCTGGGCTCGAGGCTTTAGCCTGGCCCAGCCCCAGCCACTGCAGCCATCTGGGGAGTGAACCAGTGGATAGAAAATTTCTCTCTCTCTCTCTCTCTCTCTCTCTCACTTTCTCGCCCCCCCCCAACCCCCATCCCTCTCAAAAAAATAAATCTTTTAAAAAAGTTGAGGAAAGGTATAACTGCAAGTATAGTCCTTTCATTCAAAGGAGCTGATAATTCATGACCTGTTTTGAGATTTTTGCCAGGTTTCATGAAAATTATGCCTAAGATCTGGAAAAGAAGTTGACAAGTCAATGTGCCTGAACCACTAGACTACAGTTACATGTTACCACCAATACTTACACTGATCGGATCCAGAATTTTCACTGCAGCCAGACTCCCATCTTTCTTGTTTGTGACCTTGTAGACTTTGCCATAGGTGCCTTTACCGATGGTCTCTATAATCTCCCAGGTGTCCATGGGATCTGGAAGTGCTTCAAGTCCAAGCATCGTGGGGTTGCAATGAAATAATCCATACAGATGTTTCCTGCAGGGAGGAAAGTTTGTTAGGTGCAACAGATTTCAAGATTGGGGACCGTCGGCTTTTGAAACACAAGTACTTTTATTTCTTAAACAGCATCCTTGTGTTACCTTTTCTTTTCCTCCTCTATGTTAAGTAGACTTTTAAAAAAGCATCTGGAGCCTCCTTAAGGAATGGTAGTGGAAGACAGGGTAGAGGAATAACACAACACTGAGACATTCTGAAACCACATGCATACTGCCGGAGGAAGCAAAAGGAGCAAACACCACAGAATGTTCTGGTCAGAACGGTCAGCTGTCTTATTAGGCTGCTGAGTGGCGGCTACTCTGGCTGCCGCTTGGAAAGTGACTGGAAAAGCAGAGGTCTAAACCCTCTGTCCCCAAGTTATGGTAACTTTGTGCAGGGCTTCCAGGTGGTCTCTTAACTCAATCCTCACCTCTGTGGGCACTGGGCTGCTAAGAAGGAAGATCTGGCATTAGTACCAGGTACCAGTCTACACACAGCACCCACTGCTGACAGATCCTGGGGCCAAAGATTGGTCCAGCTCAGACCTCAGCCATCCTGCAACAGCCCAGTGTGAGCATCCCACTGAGAGGCTCACCAGGAGTTGTAAACTCACTTTGCCTTGATCAGACTCCATTGAGCAAAGACACAGCTCTGTGCAGTCTCAGTGCCAGCAAGGATGGCAGACAGGCCACCGACACTGACCCTATGAAAAGTGCCTGCAGCCTCGGTTGCTGTCAGGCTGAAGATGGATCCTAACTGGTCTGCTTCTAAACCCCAGGCAATGGACCATGAGGCTCCAACAGCAAGAACCACACCATTGGAACCACCGCAGCTTAGTGTCCACACAGGGCGAGCCCTTGCACATCCCGGCACCTCTAATAATTTTCTAGAGCAAAGCCTTTCACCTTTTCCCCTTATCCTGTCTTTTAGGAGCATTTCAAAAATACTGATAAATACTGCAAACCAAATCAAACCAAACAAACAGACACATTACTCGCCCAAGGAGCTTGCGACCGATACCTTGAGGATCCACGCCATACCCAGTCTGGACTGGGGACTGACCTGAAAGGCTGCTGGTTCAAGATTCTCAGGAACCACGGCCTCTCCTTTCCAGTGTTTCATAGAATCAATCTTTCTCACCGCATGCTTCACAGTTGGTGCCCTATCTGTACATGGTCGAGGCTATGAGTCACCAAATGCTTTTAAAGCTCTTGCTTCTTTACTTAAACGTCTTTTAAGGTTATTTTATAGCACTGTGCTAAATGCAAAACAAGTATCATTTCTACATATCAAGATTAGCTGCAAAAAGATGATTACACTAAAAACAACAGAGAATTATTCAAGTCCAGCAAGACACCATTGCCCCTGCATTTTGGTATAGCAATTAAGACACTGCTTGGGACATCTGCACCTCAGGTCAGAGTGCCTGGGTTACAGTCCTGCCTTCACCTCTGATTCCAGCTTTCTGCTAATGAGTACTCTGGGAGGATATGATAGTTTAAGTGCTTGTGTCCCTGCCATCCATGTGTAAGACCAAGATTGAGTTCCAGGTTCCTGGCATTGACCTAGTCCAGTCCTGGTTATTGCAGGGATTAAGAGAGTGAACTACCAGGAGTTTAGGGAGTGAACTGCCAGGAAGATTTTTATCTGTCTCTGTGTCTCCCTTTCAAGAAAAAAAAATGAGAAATAAATTAACTAATAAAATTTTAAAAGGGAGATCAAACAGATGGAGAGGAATTAATTCTTCATTGAGAAATCCCCCCCAAACCCCTGACACACCAGAACATTGTTCTAAGCCAGGCTTCTAGGAGAGCAAAAAGTAGGATGAGCTGGAGGTGAGCAGCGGGCTGGGGAGGGCACTGAGCTGAGTCCATGAGCCTGGATGTTACTGCCTTACCCCTACTCATGCAGCTCTGCTCCCCGTGTGCAGGGCCATCTGCACCTGCCCTCAGCACAGGGACCCAGCATGCAAGACCAACTGCCTGCTCCGTCCTGGCTCCTCCCTGACCAGCAAGAGACTTGGCCTACTCCTCTCTCTGTGCCTCAGTTTCCTCACCTGTAACATGGGGCAGCAGCTACTGGTGGTGACCCAGAACTGCTGCTGAATTAGGAGATAATGGCAGAGAGCCAGGTGAGCGCTCCACCAGGATCATCTCTCATCACAACAACACAGCACCAAGATCTACCACACAACAGGCAGGGCTTCACAAACACTTCCCCATATTGCTTAATTTCACTTTTAACCACAATCTAGATGCGTTTTACTCCAATCACTTACTAGTTTCTGACAACTGGCTGGAACACGGGTGTGCACATGACCTTAAGTCCTAGAATGTGAAGCAGAAGAGGACCTCGGAGACCACTGAACTGAGTGGTTCTATAATGATCCTTAGCTACTAAACCCTCAGGGAAAATTCATCTCACTTAGGACGTCAACATACAAGCCAAAGGTGGCACAGCTCAGGTCGAGGTGAGTGGGAGAAGCGAGCCCCCGGCCTGTGCCCTCCATGGGAGCCTGATCAAGGTGACTGGCCAAGCCCCAGGTTTGCCTGCGACTGCCTCTGGTTTTGTATGTTGTTTTTCCAAGTCCCACATCCTGAACACCTCTCAGGACAGGGCAGGCCAGGACAATCTGTCACCCTAGCTAGGCACTGCCGCCTCCTGAGGACACACACCTTCTAACAGCATCATCAGAAAACCACTGATTAAGCCCTCCCCGCCAGCCCTGAGATGGGCTGAACTGTATTCTACTCACCGCCCCCCCAACCCAAATTAGTATACTGAAATGTTAACCCTCAGAACCTCAGAATGCATCTATGCTTGGAAATAGGTCCCTTAAAAGCGAAAGGAAGCCAGATGGGATAGGAGCCCTGTCCTACATGACTGGGGTCCTTATGAGAAGCGGAGATGAGGACATGGCGTGAAGAGAGGGGAGACCGTGTGGTGGAAGCACAGCAAGAAGGTAGCCATCTCCAGGCGGAGGAGAGAAGCCTCAGAAGGAACCCAACTCCACTGGCGCCCTGACCTTGGACTTCAGGTCTCCAGACTTGTGAGAAAATACATTTCTGTTAAAGCCGCCCAGTCAGGCAAATGGAGCAGACTGCTATGCCTTCATATTATAAACAAAGAACCTGAAGCCCAGGTTGCTGAAATAACTGTTTAGGGACAGTACAGGAATGGGAACCCAGGCCCAGTCCCATGAGCTTTGTTCCAAAAAATGGAATAAAGGAGTCATCTGGTTAACAGTGGTTAGTTCTTTCTGATCTATTGCACCGAATACTGGAATGTTCTCTGGGGCAAACACCCCAACCACATGGAAGCTAAGTGCCTACAGACCTCCTAAACAGCCAGCTCCCACCCACTAAAACAAAAATGACTCACCCAGAGGGATTCATTTACAGTCGGTGCCAGGGATGGGTGAGCGGAAGGCGACCCAGTCAAGTTCCGCTGCCTTGTCCATCGTGTAGCATCTGGGCGTCCACAGACAAGGTTAAATAAAGGCGCCGCCTAACAGATGCATTACTAACAGGGTTGCTTGTCTCCTCTCTTTCAAATCAATACCTGACTCTATGAACTCTGACAACTGACTCAACAGTCAGCTCCAACAGCGGCTGTTTATACGGGCTTTTAAAGGTAGTGATAATCTGATCCAGGGAGGCGTCTGCTGCAGCCCTCCGACAGCTGAAAAGCCGCTCCTGGACAGAAAGCTAACCTCCAGTGTGGACTGCGCTTCTGCCTACGTGTGGATTCGGCGCATGGCAGAGCTGGGGCCCCATAGAAACGGTCAGGGTTGACCAAACAAAGGACCAGGAGCAGTCTGGAATGACTCCATGCCTTTATTTAAACATGCAATGAAAGAGGAGGCTAGAAAACTCAGGTTACACAAGCTACATTCATTGACAGACACACGGAAACGTGGGTCTGGCCAAAGGTGGTTGATGGCATCTCTTTGTACAAGCGAGGCCCATGTGGTTTGCAAACCAAAACAAAGTTCTGTTGGCCCAGATGTGACTATGTACACAGCTGATCTAAGATAAGACTTGATAAACACTCTGTTTTTGCACATAGTATTATTACATAAGTCAGTACCACAAATGGATTTCCTATCAAAGTTACTGTACTCTAAGAGCAAGATTATGATGTCCCCCATATTCCTGTGGCAGCCAAACCATTCTTCTACCAGGAATAGCAACCAAGTTATTAGCAAATCAAAGGAGCATTATCCAAGAAAGATAGTCCTGTTCAGTAAAAACAAGTGACAGAAGGGTTGAGGGGGGTTGTCATTATGGTACAAATAGCTAAACCACCTGCAATGCCAGCATCCCATATGGGCACCAGTTCAAGTCCCAGCTGCTCCGTTCCAATTTGGCTCCCTTCTAATGCTAATGGGAAAGCAGCAGAAGATGGCCCAAGGACCTGGGCTCCTGCACCCACACGAGACACCTGAAAGAAGCTCCTGGCTTCAGCCTGGAATGGCCTTGGCTATTGCGGCCATTTGGAGAGTGAACCAGTGGATGGAAGATCTCTTTCTCTCTAATTCCATCTTTCTTTCTTTCTTTTTTTTTTTTTAAACATTTATTTGTTTATTTGAAAGGCACAGTTAGAGAGGCAGATGCAGAGAGAAAGAGAGAGAGAGAGAAAGACAGGTCTTCCATTTGTTGGTTCACTCCCTAGATGGCCACAATGGCGAGAGCTGTGCCAACCCAAAGCCAGGAGCCAGGAGCTTCTTCCAGGTCTCCTGCATGGGTGCAGGGGGCCCAAGGACTTGGGCCATCTTCTACTGCTTTCCCAGGCCATAGCAGAGAGCTGGATCAGAAGTGGAGCAGCTGGGACTAGAACCGGTACCCATATGGGATGCTGGCACTGTAGGCAGCGGCTTTCCCTGCTATGCCACAGCACCAGCCCAGCTCTGCCTTTCAAATGAATAAATAAAAAGCAAGAAGAGTTAAGGAACTATTTTTATATCTTTGTCACTTATCACTGTCCTTCAAATACTTCTC